CATTTTGTATTAAACATCTTTATGTTATGAGCTAAACAAGTTATCATGATTTTGATTTAATATTGCTTGTCATTTTTAATATAATATTACCTTAATTTATATATATTATATTTAAAATTATTATGCCGTGTCCACGCCGCACCCGTGTCCTATATTTTTAAAAAATGCCGTGTCCCGTGTCCGTGTCGTGTCGTGTCCGTGTCGTCGTGTCCGTGCATCCTAGGTCACCTCAAGGATGGCCACCTCCACCAGAACATGAGCATATCTCCACCTTGAGGACAAGGTGGATTTTCGGGAGGGGAGTATTGTTAGACCGGTCCACTGGACCGGTCCAGCCGGTCCAGGCGGGACTGGTTCACGGGCGAATATCGCGAAACAGGCAATTTGTTCGCCTGGGCGGAGGCCGCGCGCACCGCGTGCCTTGCGGGAGCCGAATAGGAAGCTTTTTTGGGGAAATTAAGAGGGGAATTTGAATGTAGGGACTGTTTAGGGATTTCCTTTTGTTTTGTATGCATTAAATAGTAGATTTTCCTAGGGTTTGATCATCTTGAATTTGGCTGAAATTTGAGATCTCGTAGATTTAGGTTTTCTTTGGGCTCTAGCGGCGTCTAGAGATTTGGGAGAGATCGATACTCCTCGCTTTACAAGTATTTTCTCTGATTTTTCTGCAGTTTTTCCCTGCTTTCCTACTGTTTTTGGCTGTTTTTCTGCTGTGGACAGCAGTTTTACATTGGATCTACTTGGTTTTGGTGAGAAACACTTGGAAATCCAAGTGTTTCCTATCACATTTTTTTTTGCACTGCTATATCCTTCTTTTTAGGGTTAGGCAATAATATTTTAGCATTCAAGTTAGTTGGTTGAAGTGGAGGAATGCATCGGGCCTGCTATGTGATAGAAAAATGCCTCTCTAACTTAAGGGAAAATTTTATGAGATGATGGTGAGACCTATAATACGTTATGGTACAAAATGTTGGTCATTAAAAGATAATTATAAAATTAAGTGTTAAAGAGACGAGGATGCTCAGGTGGATGAGTAGCTTTACTCTTAAAGATAGAATGCGAAATGAGTATATATGTGAAAAGGTTGGAGTAGCTCTAGGGGAAGATAAGATTAGAGAGAGTTGCCTTAGATGATTTGGTCACATAAAACGTCGGTTTTTCAATGACCAAGTTTGGAGAATAGAGGTATTAGATATGACCTATGTTAAAAAATGTAGAGGTATACCTAAAAAGACTTGGTTAGTAAGTATTAAAAATGACATTTTTTATATTAGATTTCAACGAGAATTCGACTCTTACCGGTACACAATTGAAAAAAATGATTCATATAGCCAACTCCACTTTGTGGGATAAAGGCTTGATGTTGTTATTGTTGCTACTGCTTAATCCATTTTTTTGTTATTTTGCACCTGAATTACTGGAAATTATGTTATTCTGCCTGTTATTTTTTATTAATTTACTGATTTACCGATGCTCAAGTTTCTTAAAACATTCTTTACTGTATACTGGATTACTGATATTTGAGTATCAAGCCATCTTCTGAGAACTTGATATTTCCTTAATCTGCATCTATCATAGTTTATTAATTGCTATCATTGTCCTTGCTTATTCTATTTTCAGAAAGAATTAGATGGCATTCTTCGAGATTATGTTGGACGGGAGAGCCCGCTTTATTTTGCAGAACGACTTACAGAGCACTACAAAAGTTCTGAAGGTGAGGGGCCCCTTATTTTCCTGAAAAGGGAAGATCTTAACCACACTGGGGCACATAAGATCAACAATGCTGTTGCACAAGCTCTACTTGCAAAGCGTTTGGGGAGGAAACGAATTATTGCAGAAACTGGTGCTGGCCAGCATGGTGTTGCAACAGCTACTGTATGTGCAAGATTTGGATTGCAATGCATTATCTACATGGGTGCTCAGGACATGGAAAGACAATCACTAAACGTCTTTCGCATGCGCCTTCTGGGTGCTGAGGTCTGTAGATGATCTTGCCTTCTCTATTATCATACATTTTTGTACAAGTTATGCCTGAAGATGCCTTCCAGTAACAGGAGGTTCTGTCTTCTGTGAGATTGTCTACTTTCACAATAAAGTATAACTGATGGCTTCATGCCAATATTTGGTTTTAACATTCTGAACCCATAAAATTATAACCACGGCAATGAAAATGAAACCAAAGCCCAGACTGACAAAAGTTGATTCATTGTATCTATTTTTGGCACTACCTTGTTATTGATAAATTGGTGAAAAGGATCATTTTGAAGGTGTATGCTGAGACAGTGAGTGGCAAGAGAGATCCAGAGGCAAGAACTTATCTCGTTGTCATGGTCATTTTGCATTCTGCCCTTCTATATTACTTTTTACTGACATTATAAATTTTCTGTGTTTTTGAAGAACTAGATTATCTATTTAATTACGATAACTTTTTGTTACCAATGATGAGGCACTTTGGCTTTATGTTTATTGTTACCATTGGTGAAGCACTTTGGCCTCTATGTTTATGCAGGTGAGAGCGGTTCATTCTGGGACAGCTACACTGAAAGATGCCACTTCAGAAGCCATCCGAGACTGGGTGACTAATGTTGAGACCACCCACTATATTCTTGGATCTGTTGCAGGCCCGCATCCATACCCAATGATGGTTAGAGATTTCCATGCTGTGATTGGCAAGGAGACAAGGAGACAAGCAATGGAAAAATGGGGTGGCAAGCCTGATGTACTTGTTGCTTGTGTTGGTGGTGGTTCAAATGCTATGGGCCTCTTTCATGAATTTGTTGATGATGAAGATGTTAGGTTGATTGGTGTTGAGGCTGCAGGATTTGGTTTGGAAAGTGGAAAACATGCTGCAACATTGACAAAAGGAGAGGTGGGTGTCCTACATGGTGCCATGAGTTATTTATTACAAGACGATGATGGGCAAATTATTGAACCACATTCAATCAGTGCTGGGTTAGTAACATGTTTCTCAAGATGTATAAGCATTCATGGTCTTTACTGGTAATATTGACCGTTTTTTGCTATAATTGACAGTTTGGATTATCCTGGTGTTGGGCCTGAACATAGTTTTTTGAAGGATATCGGACGTGCTGAATATTATAGTGTCACAGATGAAGAGGCGTTGGAAGGTAATTCAAACTTTTGATATTTTCAATTTCATGTCTTATTCGTCCATGTCTTGAATTAGAAATCAGAGTTCTCCATCAGGATGGATAACATGAGCAATAGACTTCTCATACTTTTGGTTTACGTAGTATGTTCCAAATCTAATTTGTGCTTATGAAAATCATGCTTTGTTATTATGCGTTGGAGTATGAACTTTGATTTAGCATAAATAGCATTCATGTGTCTTCAGCGACTTGTCTATGTATGATGATGGTTTGCCTCATGATGTTCTTTTCAAAGGAGTATTATTTTGACTTTTATAAAAACGCAGCCTTAATATAGGCGTTTCTTTACGTTGCTTGAACATCAGACGCATAGAACAATATGAATATTTTGAGCTAGATACTTAAGAGTTGCTTTTTGGCATTTTCAGGGTCCTGTTGAACATAACTTTGCAAGTTTCAAGCTTATTGAATATTAACTGTGGCTACTCTTTTGTTAAGTGCTCTATTTATTGTATCATTGTGCTATCTTCCAAATCTGATTATTGTGTATGGTAAACGGAAGAAAAAGTGCAGGTATTAGATTTCTTGGTTCTCAAAAGCTAGTTTTATCTACAAATAGAGGTGTTATTGAAACCTGTAGTACACCATGAAGTTTAAACTACTAAGTTTTGCTTCAACTGCAGAGAGGAGCGGTATTGTAAGCAGTGCTGCTTCATGGTGCAGTAAAGCATACAACATTTAATGGATACTTATACATTGCGGGGCCCATAGCTAGGAAGGGGGAGCTATTTAGGAAAGTTCCTAATCAAGAAGCAGTTGTTTAGAAAAATTTCTAATTAAGGAGAATTATTTAGGAATGTTCCTAATCAAGTGGCAAGTAGTTTTGGAAAATTTTTTTAGTTATGTTTATGCTATTTAGGAAGTGTTTAATTGTTTAGGAATGTTTCCTAAAATATATTTAATTGTTTAGGAATGTTTCTAAAATCATAATTTAGGAAACCTTTCTAAATAAATAGAACATTCTTGATAAAAATAAATATAATTTAGGGTTCTAAATGTGTTATTGTGTTTTAAGGCTATTTAATGGGGAGTTTGTCTATGGTTTAGGGGAGGATATTACTGAGTTTATTTTCTAATATTTGTTGTTAGTTCCTAGCGGCATCTAGGGTTCGTGGGAGAGCTGATATACCTCTCGAATAGTAGATCAATTGTATCTTGCTTTATTATTGAAGGAGAAATAAGAAATTCAGCCCTATCTTTATGTTCCTACGCTCTTCTTCTCTTTTATTTGCTGTTTTTAAGTCAAAGGCGTATCAAATTGGTATTAGAGCACTTTTTTTTGGGACCTATGATAGTAAAAAAGGTGGAGGTGTTGGAAAGTAAGATGGAGCAAATCAAATCCGACATGGAGAAGATGTTTTCATTCATGGAAGGAAGGTTTTCATCCATGGAAAATATTAAATGAAGTTGATCGAGATGCAATTGAAGGCTTTGCCGGCTATTCCTAGTCTAAACCAAAGGTAAAGGAAATTATGGAGGAGATGATCATGAAGCTCTTGCAGTGCAATAAAAACTCCACCGATGATTTCGATGGCTAACCCTAACTAATATTTGACTGGGATTCCCTTAGCTGAATCAAAGGGAGGGATTCCCTTAGCTGAATCAAAGGGAAAGGAGATATAGACAGAAGGAGTTCGACGAGGAGAGTTTCTTTCATCAAGAGCCATTTCTCGGGCTCTGATAAGGGGCAGATTAGGGTTTCCTGATGATGGGACAACAATGAGAGAGTTTTTTGGTTGTGGTGATAGTGTGTTGACCATTATGGGAGGTATTTTGGGCAAGGGGAGTGGGTCATCGGAGGAGGGGTCAAGAGCCACCTCATAGGGCTCCGATAAGGTACGGAATAGGATTTTCAGATGGGAGGACAGGAGGAAGGAAGTTTCGTGGTGGAGGTGGTAGGGTGACCGACTATTATGGGAGGCATTTCGAGCAAGGGGAGTGGACCATCAGAGAAGGAGGGGGTCAAGAGCCACCTCCTAGGGCTCCGATAAGGAACGGAATAGGGTCTTCGAATGGGGGGACAACAGGAAGGGAGTTTCGTGGTATATGTGATGGGGTGGATGACAATTATGGGAGGATTTTTAGACAAGGGGAGTGAACGATTTGAGGAGGCGGATGGGTTGAACCATGGGGATCGGATCATGTGAGGCGGACAAAAGAAAAGTGGGATTCCCACCCTCGATACACGATGGAAATATGGAGGGATCATGACAATCGTTACGCTGGAGGAGGAAGAAGCTATTGGTGTGGTGACGATCTTACGGTGGCCATCCTAGTCTTAATGTGAAACAAGTTGAATATCTTACAACAAGAGATGCACCTATTCATCTAGGTTCTCAAAAATTTAGTTCTTATGGTGGAAGAATGGATGTAGACCTACATTTTTGCCCATTCCTTGATAATTCATGACTTTTATGCAATCTAGAGATACTAAAGAGCTATTTTATAGCTTTTATCGAGATAATGTCCCAACCGAGTCTGTTATGCATAAGTGCGTCGTACATTTTGTTACCCTTTACAAAAAGATGCCAATTTGTTCTCAACATCATGGGTTTATTATTCAGAAAGTACTTATCAAGTGGAAGGATTTGTCGGAGCACGAAGCCACGTGGGAACCTTACGAGTTGATCAGGAGACAATTCTCATCCTTCCACCTTGAGGACAAGGTGCATTTTTTGGGAGGGAGTATTGATGTGCTAGGGGGGCTCATTGCTAGTTAGGGAGAGCTGCTTATGAAGGTTTCTAATCAAGAGGGGATTGTTTAGGAAAGTTCCTAATTAAAGGAAATTATTTAGGAATGTTCCTATTCAAGGGGGGGGGGGGGTTGTTGTTATTGAAAAAGTGTTTAATTGTTTAAGAAGGTTTTCTAAATTATGTTTATGTTGATTAAGAAAGTTCTATTTATTTAGAAAGTTTTCTTACATTATGTTTATACTGATTAGGAAGGTTCTAATTGTGTTATTGTGTTCTAGGGCTATTTAAGGAATTATTCTATAGTTTAGGGGAGGATATTGCTGAGTTTATTTTTCTAATGTTTGTTGTAAGTTCCTAGCGGAGTCTAAGGTTCGTGGGAGAGCTGATCTACCTCTCGAATTGCAGATCAATTGTATCTTGCTTTATTATTGAAGAAGAAATAAGAAAATCAGCCATATCTTTGTGCTCCTATGCTATTCTTTTCTTTTATTTGTTGTTTTTACTTTCAAGGCGTATCAAATGGTAGGGTGGCTGATCACTATGTGATGCATTTCGGGCAAGGGGAGTGGGTCATCAGAGAAGGAGGGGGTCAAGAGCGATCTCCCAAGGCTCCAATAAGGGGCGGAATAGGGTTTTTGGATGGGGGGACATCAGGAAGGGATTTTCGTTAAGTTGATGGGGTGACTAACTGGTAGGAAACACTTGGTTTGCAAGTGACCCTAATCCAAAACAGTAAAATACAGCAGTAGTTTGCTGTCCCCAGCAGAAAAACAGCAGGAATATAAGGAAAACATCTCGAAAACACAAGTAGAAGGCTTGTATTTCACTAGAAGATGAATAAAATAGCAAGATACAATTGATCCTCAATTCGAGAGGAGGATCGATCTCTCCCAAATCTCTAGACGCCGCTAGAGCCCAAAGAAATCCTAAATCTAAGAGATCTCAAATTTCAGCCAAATTCAAGATACTCAAACCCTAGGAAAAACATCTATTTAATGCATACAATTCAAAAGGAATTCCCTAAACGATCCCTGCAATCAATTCCCCTCCTAAACTTCCTCAATTTTCCTTGCCGAAACCGTCCCACAAGGCGTGCGTCACGCGCGGCTTCCGCCCAGGCGGAAGAAATCTCCGCCTATTTGCGATTTTTGCCCGTGAAGCGGTGCCGCCTGGACCGGCTGGACCGGTCCAGTGGACCGGTCTAACACTAACCACTATAGGATGTCTTTTGGGCAAGGGAAATAGACGACCGGAGGAGGGGGACGGGTCGAACCATGGGGATCAGATCATGTGAGGCGTAGGAAAGAAAGGTGGGATTCCCACCCTCGATACAAAGGGGAAATATGGTGAGATTACGACAACCATTAAACTAGAGGAGGAAGAAGCTATTGGGGAGGTGGCGATCTTACGGTGGCAATCCTAGGGTCATTGCATCCTAGTCTTGATGTGAAACAAGTTGAATATCTTGCAACAAGAGATGCACCTATTCATCCCGATCCTCAAAAATTTAGTTCTTATGGTGCAAGAATGGATGTAGACCTACATGTTTTACTCATTCCCGGACAATTTGACTTTTATGCAATCCAGAGGTACTGGAGAGCTCTTTTACAGCTTCCATCGAGATAATGTCCAAACCCAGTCTGTTATACATAAGTGCATCGTACATTTTGTTCCCCTTAACAAAAAATTGCGAACTTTTTCTCAGCATAATGGGTTTATTGTTCAGAAGGTACTTATGAAGTGAAAGGATTTCCTGGAGCACAAAGCCACATGGGAATCTTACGAGCATATCAAGAGACAGTTCCCATCCTTCCACCTTGAGGATAAGGTGCATTTTTTGGGGGAGAGTATTGATATGCTTGGGGGGCACAACTAGGAAGGGGGAGCTATTTAGGAAGGTTCCTAAACAAGAGAGAATTGTTTAGGATAGTTTCTAATTAAAGAAAATTATTTAGGAAGGTTCCTAATCAAGGGAAAAGTTGTTTAGGAAAGTTTTCTAGTTGTGCTTATGCTATTTAAGAAGTGTTTAGTTGTTTAGGAAGATTTCCTAAAGTATGTTTAATTTCTTAGGAAGATTTCCTAAATTATGTTTAAGTTGATTAGAAAGGTTCTATTTATTTAGAAAGGTCTCATAAATTATGTTTATGCTGATTAGGAAGGTTCTAATTGTGTTATTGTATTCTAGGGCTTTTTAAGGGGGAGTTTGTCTATGGTTTAAGGTTGATATTGTTGAGTTTATTTTCCTAGTGTTTATTGTGAGTTCTTAACGGCATCTAGGGTTTTTGGGAGAGCTGATCTGCCTCTCGAATAGTAGATCAATTGTATCTTGCTTTATTATTGAAAAAAGATAAAAAAATCAGCCCTAGTTTGGTGTTCCTACGTTGTTCTTCTCCTTTATTTATTGCTTTTATGTCCAAGGCGTATCAGATACATGTAAGCATTTATAATATATTAGAAAAGAAAAATGAAACCAGCCTACACCAACATAGGAAAAATATATGAAGCATTATATCTCCTGCTGAAAAACCTTTAATTGTACATAATAACCTTTCAATTGTACCATACACGACCCTATTTGAATTGATTGAATTAAAATTCTCTGCTATAGCATTCTATTGGCACAATGCATTATGAACTATATAGATGGACTATCGAGCTCTCAATGTATGTACATATCAACTGGAGACCTATTGACTACTGGACTTCTATTTTGGATAGGCAAGACCTCCATTACTTATTCAAACCATTTAACACTCCCTCAACTTGGAGAATGTCTTCTAATCCAATCTTAAAAATATTAAGCCTCTTTGTGAGACAACTGCTAGTTGACCTTCTGAGAGTAGATATGACATGCAAATCAGACATTCTTCTAACTTCTCCTAAATAAAATATTTTTCAATCTCAATATGCCTTGTTCTATCATGTTGAATTGGCTTAAAAGCGATGTTAACTTATTTTCACAAGACAACTTCAGAGGGCCTTTTCATTTAATTCTTAATTCAACCAGGATTATTTTTAATCATTGCAGTTCATGTATTCATTGTGCTATACCCCTGAATTTTGATTAAATTCTTGTTGAAGCCATTATATTTTATTTTTTACTTATCCATTTTACTAAATATTCCTGAGGAAAGAGCATTAATTAGATGTTGCTCCCCTATTCAGTATTCAACATGCATAATTTTGATTTGTGCGGGCTTCTAATGTGAGCTTATTATTATTGTTTAAATAAAACTTCTCTTCACATATTACATTTCAGGAAATGTAGCACATGTTAGGCATCTTGCTTTGTGTTTTTTCTTGGATCTTGCATGAGTTGACTAGTCACACATTGAATATGACAATATGTAATATCTGATTGGGTATGAGCAAGATAGATGAGTTTTCGAACTATTCACTGATGTTATTGGCGTGTATACAACTGGAATTTTATCTTCTGATGGTCTCTAGATATGAATTTTTTTCTTATCTGTCGAGTTCATTTCTGATCAGCTTTCAAGAGATTATCTCGTTTGGAGGGAATTATTCCTGCGCTGGAAACTTCACATGCATTGGCTTATTTGGAAAAGCTCTGTCCAACACTACCAAATGGAGCAAAGGTGGTCATAAACTGTAGTGGCAGAGGGGACAAGGATGTTCAAACCGCTCTGAAACACCTACAGCTCTAATCACTCGCCAAGGCTTCTGCTTTTGTCCTCATGTCTTTCATCTATCCGGTGAATGCTTTATTTTCCTTATTGCTTTTTTTACTTTTCTTTCAAAACTTCAAAATAAGCAAGCTTTAAGTTGTTGTCCCTTCAAACTTTCCCCTTATTATATATAAAAAAAAAAAAATTTTTTTCTGTCATGAGAATTAAGGTAAGATACACACAGATATATAATGAATAATTTAACCCAAATTTTATTTCTCATTGTGCAAATGGAAACACTATATAATCCTTAGATTTCAATGCACAAACCATACAATTTAAGCTTTTCAAATTGAGGTTTCGTTTGAGACGGCTTTCTTACTGCTTCTAAAGCAGCTTTCTACTAAAAAATTTGAATTTTTGTACAAAAAAACTGCTTTAAGAAGCTGCAAAAAAGCCGTTCCAAACGAACCCCAGTTTTGCAGTTCCATTTAATAAAAATTCTATTCACTGAATGTAAGTTCGATCGTTATCACATTTTCTATCGTATGTGATGGTGTGTATCGTACTTATACAATATTTCACCATTTTATTGTTAATTGATTGTTTGGAGGTTGCCATTTGCACTTCACGAAAGTCAAAATGAGTACTATCGAATAGTGGCAGTCGAGTGATTGATTTCTTTTTTCGCAATATGCCATATTTGGATCTAGTTGAGGTGTAGACCATCCATTAACTATGATGCCATTTGAAAGTGTTATGTTGTGCCTTTCAAAATTATAATTATTCTGTACCAGCTTAAACACCAATTTTAAATCTATTGAGAAAAAAGAAATCCTCTAAATTACTCTCTTCTTCTGTTCCCTGCAAGGGGAGACACCTCCCTCTTTTATGAGTAATAAAGTCATCCTCTGCATCACTTTTCTACTCAAAAAGTATGCAAACACTATTGCTCCACCTAAATCCACAAACTTTCCTTTATTTTGGCAATATAAACCTGAGAAAATTACACAATATCTTTGAAAGATACTTGTACACCCAAACATAACGGTGGCCTAGGTATCCCTTATATTGACTCTTTATATCACAGTTTTCCTGTTCGATAATATAGCAATTTGCTTTTTAATTGGTGGAGATCCAAGTATCATTCTTTGTGGAATTCAATGTCTATTAAAAGCTCACCCTACTGGAAGCATTTATGCAAGACAGCTAATACAATTAAACACTGCATTTCTTTGTCTGTCCACTCGAGTAGCAATCCGTCTTTATTATGAGACCCTCGGTGCAATGACATCTCTATTAGGGATATGCTGAATGAGACTCAGGCTCTCAACGATTTTTCCTCCTTTAACTGGACGGTTTCTAAGTTTATTATTGGTAATAGTTGGTCTATCCCTCACTGTTTTGATGCCTCGATTGTTTCTAATATTCCAGCCATCCACATTAATAGTAATTTGGAAAAGCATCACAAGCTGGGCACTCAAAATCCTAATTTTAATACTTTTTTATCTCTATTTTACTCTTCTATGGAGATTGTTTCTTGGCACAAAAAAGCAGCATTACGTTTTTCAGCTTATGTATGGATGGCTTTCAAAGGTGGTTTAAAAACTGCAGATGTTTTAGCCTCTCGTGGGATCCTAACTTTTACTAATTGTTGTTTCTGCCATGAAGAACAAGAATCCCTATCTCACCTTTACTTTGAATGTAAATTCACATTCAGCATAATAAAGCACTTCCTCCCTTGGTTGGATAAACTTCTTTATGAGGCCGAACTTGCTTCAGGCTTTGGATAGTTTCTGGATCAGGGATTTTCTGACCAACGTATCAGTTATTTCCTTCTTGCTGCCCGTGCAACCATTTACTATGTCTGGAGGGCTAGAAATGAATATTTGGTGGTTTTCTTGACTGTCAAGCCACGGTGATTGCTAAAATTAAAAAAGCTATTATACGGAAGGCCTCTAATTGGAAGGATTTTAGGAATGCTTTGTGAATGCAGTTTCCTACATATTCGATCTTTGTTGCCTGCTTTTTGTGGCATGTGTGTTATTTTTGGAAGGACAATGATAATTGCTGCTAATCCTAGCTACCCCTATGATGGTCTTTTTGGCAACCAGGGGCTTCGCTCTGTTGTAGTCCCTCTCGTGCAATTTTGGTCCCGTTCGTGTTTATCACCATGACCTGCCTGAGTCCATAGTTTATATCCTTCTAGCTTTTGTATTTTTCTGCAGGTTTTTGTCCTTATTTTGAGTCCTTGGCTTCTCTTTTGTTGTTGAGATCCAGGACTATGTTTTCCTTTTACATTTTACTCACTTGTAAGTTCCTTTTAATGATACACCCCAAAAATTTCCAAAAAAAAAAAAAAAAAATCCACAAGATACAAAGATCTGTACAGAATGTCCTTGGTCTCTACAATAAGAGTCAAGAAGCTCTCCACTAATAGCTCCAAACTCCCAAAACAGATGGAAAAAAGTTATGATTTGAAGATTGTTCTGATACACAAATTTCCAAAAGAACAAAAATAAATAAATAAATAAATAAATTCTTACTAAGCCTCTCAAATCTCTCCTCTCATAAATCTCTAGAAACTCTCTTGAAAATCTGTTGTATGCCCATGAAAAATCTCTCTTTAGGGTTTCTTAGAGACGATATTTATAAAATGGATATATATATATATATTTGTTGCATGCTGGAATATTTACGGTGGTTGAAAGATATAGGATTTGACGTTCTAGTTTTATATGAATACTCATTACACGTATAAAAAGAGAGAGAGGTGCAAGATTCATAAGAGATGATAAGATTTTTATGTGGAAAATTCTAAATAGGGAAAAAATCACAGGGCTTGATCTAGTTAAAATGATTTTACTAGTGTTTCTTCGGGGAAAGGCCTTGACTCAATATAGAGAATATATATCATATAAAACACATTACATGATGAAAGTTGGAAGAATTCAATGATATGATAGTTGATTTCATAAGAATGTTAGCCTATTTGTTTGGTCAGTAGGACCGTAATCAGCAGGTGATGAAGGTTGGAGGGATCGTAATCAACGGGCAACGGTGGTTGGACAAATTGTAGTAAGCAGGCAATAGAGGTCGGACAAAGCTTCAAAGCTCTATTAAGTCTCTTGCCAAGGGTCTAAGCCTCCAAAAGTTCAAGTACATTTTCATGTGAAAAGAGAGAATCTATTTACAGATTTTGAGAGGGCATGCTCCGTAAATGTGAAGAAGATTCATAACAAATTAAGAGTGATTTATCGAATGACCCATACTGGTTCTTTCGATCACAGAGCATTTGTTCAACATTTATGTATCTTAATGATATCAAAATTAACCGATATTTGGCTCTTTAGATTCGACTTGTTGAGCCACTCGATTCGACTATAAAAATGTCATTTTTGGATATCATTTGATCATCTAATTATTACTTTGGAGCTTTGAATATGCTTTAAGCCCTTAATTTGAGCTCATTTGAGCTTGGAGTGGACCGATTTTGGTGTTGGGTTCGTCTCACTTTGATGTTTAATTTGACTATATGTTTGCTAAAATTAGAGTAATGATGGTCCCGCATTTAATTTTAAAAGTTGTTAATTCATATATGCTTCGAGATTCGTGCATAATCAAGACATTTTTTTGGAGACAAATCATAAATAATATATCAAAGCACATGATGCAAAACATATTATATAGTAACTTATTTTTAATTTTATTCATAAACTATGTATAGCATTATAATTTATAGATGCATGATACTTTGATAATTCATACAAACAAATTATTCTTATAAGTTTCATCTTTATATATATATAACCGGTGACGGTAAGCACAATATTTTTTTGTAGGGTAGTTGAAAATAGTTGAACTAAATTTAACTTCGGTGACCACAGAAAATGAGAATACAACTTACCGCCTTAAGTCAAAGGACGTCCAAATCAAATTAGGTCAATATAAGCTTTGAGGCCGTTTGGTTTATTTTAAAATAAATATAGTAATTAATTAATTAATTTTTAATTTTTTTATTATAAAATCTCAAAATAAATTTAATAATTTTTAAAATCCCTTGAGACCTATTTTTTTTTTCAACAAATTTCAAACCGTCGAATTTCACAATCAAATTAAACTCTGAGGATTTACGAGCTAAGCTCATGTTAATCTCGACTTAACTCATTAACCACTGAACTCAGCCGTTTAAAAAAATGTCTATAAAATATATTACTTAGAATTTAAAAGTAGAAAGCTTTAAAAGAATAAAATAGAGGTAAAAATGGTCTATTAATTTTTAAGAAGTATCAAAATAATCAACTATATTAAATAATCATTTTAATCGCTTAACTCTTTAAAATTGAACTAAAATACTGAAATAATTCAATTTGGATTATTTTAATTCATTTTTTAAAATTTGAAGGATCAAAATAATTTTTTTAGTATAATTAAAAAACTACTTTAATTTTTCATTAGTTCTTCAAACTTCAAAAATATTAATAACACTCATTTTCTTATATGAAATAATTATCTATTATTTATTTTCTAGTATCTCATTCATTTTATACTTTTATTATAATAATTACTTGAATCATAATTATTTTTTCTCTTTAATTGTAACTCAAACTCATAAAATTAAGCTCGAATTCTATCTTGATTAATTAATCAAGCTCAAGCTCGATCTTAAAAGGACCATAGGAAAATTGCTCCCTCAAATTAAAGATGGAAAACAAGCGTCCCAAATGCATCTAAATGAGCTTCAAATTCATCCAATTATGATAAAATTATTATTATTATACATGATCTCAATATAAATCAAAATACTTAAAAGGCCATCCTCATATATTTTGCATCAATATATCCTAAAAAATATCACTCACAAAACCAGCTTAAAAATACATCCAATCAATATTTAGCAGCGAAGCTGAAGAAAAAAACTAGCCTTTTCTAGCATGCATCAAAAGAGAAATTATTATGTGCGGAGCCTAGACGTAGCTCACGTCCAGACTCCAATGTATACAAGTCACGTAACTTATACACATCCTGTGTGCAATTTATATATAAGATACATATAACACACCAGAAATTATTCTGTGTGAAGACCAGATGCAAAACGTCGTCCATAGACAAACCAGAATGCACCACATCAACGGTATCGAGCAGTGGTATCGAGCACTGAGGTGATATGACGCATCCTGGTTGATCTCCGGACGACATTCTGCGTACATACCACGTGACTAGAATTCATTGAAATCCGGTCCGGACCAAACGCAATAATTTCTCGCATCAAACAAACACAGAAAACAAATGCAAATAAATATCTAACACTCCAAAACTCATAACCAATACAATCAACAAGGTTTATATAACCCCATCATCTGGAGACAACACTCGGCAACTTATTGCTAGACTGCTTAAAACATTCGCTTGGTCCTTGCAAGTTGATCACATAGCCAGCTAATTTGACAAACCAGCAAGGATTATTCGATAATCAACTACTGTTCCAACTATCTTATATCTACAAACAAACACTGCTGTTTCGCCAGCCAAAACTGAATCTTCAGCCATGTTTCAAGCGTCGATCTTGTCACAAGTTGACAGTCCGTTACACATTACTGCTTTGCCTGCAACAACAAGATTGAAATACTTATTTTAACTAGTTATAGATCAATAACATTAGCTTCCAAGAAGAAAACATAGGAAGCCTATCTGGAGCTTGCATTGCTGAAATCAGAGCCCTGCATTGGGTACTCATACCCGCACCCACCCGTATGGGTACGCCCATGACCTCATGGGTGGGTACTCAACATCGGAGGATAAACCGATTTACATTGATAACCACTGTATGCAGTATATTACCACAATCCTCACTACGCAATGCATAACATTGAATAGCACTACGACCACGATAAATTTTGATATGCAGCTTGAAAGTTTGTGCTTAGTGCAAAAGGCAACAAGCCTCAAGGCCATTAGTCCATGGCAAATAACGTTCAAAAAGCGTGAAAAGTGAGTAGGTATGGGTGGGTACAACATCTCGAAAGTCATCATGGGTGGGCAAAGCCCGCCCGCGCAGAGCTTGTGTACGCAATCAAGACCCGTGTAGGGCTTTGGTTGGAATTCTGTTTTGAAATTCATACTTGATTTGCTACTAAAGGAGGATATAATTTCAGATAAATGCGGTGTCATTAATTAATTATAGAAAAAAAAAGCAAAGAAATCTCAATACATGACATCTCTGTAACAGACCTGGTATAAATTGCAAAAAAATTGAGATTAAGCTGGGAAACTCAAAATGCAGTCAACTGTCAATGCAAGATTAAGATTTAAGACCATTTTCTTTATTATTATTGTCACTATTTTTTTATTATTAAATTGTCGAGTTACCAAGCACAATATAGAGGATAACCTCAGTTTAAAGGAATTTGATAGACCCAAAGAAGTGTGATAGTACATATAAAGAGTTAGTTTTGTGTAAAACGTTAATGATATGCAGATGAACACTAATATATCAGTTCGTCCAATCCATATTGTACTATTAATTCTCATCGCATGATCAAGGCTTCGTTTGGGATGGCTTTATTGCCACTTATTAAAACAACTTTTTAGTACAAAAATTAAAATTTTTTACTAAAAAGTTATTTTAAGAAGCAATAAGAAAGTAGTCTCAAACGAAACCTAAGTGAAGCTTTTCAAGCATCCAAAACCGAGTTTTGGCAACATTATTGATGAAAATAAAACTTCATAAGTTTTGTGAAGGCAAGCTCGCCATAAAAGAACATTTCGCAATATATATCATCGAAATGAAAGGGAAATCACCAGAAGAAACGAAGTTTACTAATAGTTACCTGTGAATACAAGAAGGTTCCAAGGATGGCAATGGCAGCTCCAAGTGCATTGATGGGTTGGACAGGAGTGTGGAAGATTATGATCGAAGAGACGATGACTGATATCCGCTTCATAGTGTTGCCAATGCTAAATGTAAGTGGAGAGATTTCATCCAGAGACATATATGAAACTTGATTGTACAAGTGGTAGAACACACTTTGAGCTGCAACCCACCTGCATATGCAAATTTTTCACAGCCACACAATCAGATAAAATGCTCGTAAACAAATTGTGAAATAACAAGTTATTTTACAGAGAAAATAACAAACAATGACCATGGATAAGGAGAAGCAGCCAAAAAGGATAAAAATAAGATAATAAAGAAGTGAACAATTTGCTATAGAAAAAGATATCTCGAATGAAGAAAGAAACTATAGAAATAAGACGACGACAGACTCAAAAGAACCATTTTTACAAAAGAATCTGCAGAATCTAAAGATTTTAACTTCAAATTTTAACAGTCGCCATAGGTTCAGTCGCCATAGATTCCAGCTTCGTTTGGGAGGGCTTTTTTACTGCTTCTTAAAGCAGTTTTCATGCAAAAAATTTACTAGAAAGCTGTTTTAAGAAGTTGTAAGAAAACCATCCCAAACGAAGTCTCAAATTATACGTAAATTTCCATCTAATAAACGATGGAAAATATATTGCTGAAATAAACCCACACCCTTACCCATAGCCAGGATTAAATTATTCTAATAAATTATGCAGAAAACATGTGACCTGCTGACAAATTGGAGAATAAAATAAATCAAAATGATAATTCAAAAGACAATGGCACACTTACCATATGAACTGGGGACCAATCTGTGAAATGGCTGTCTCCCAACCAGCGGCCCACACTTGAGGGCCCTCAACAGCAATGGCAAAAGGTGTGAGTATTAGGAGGGACATTATGGAGAGGCAAGCGTAGTAGTTCATCCCACTAACTGATTTCCCTTTCATTCCTCTCTTGGAAAAGATATTCCTAAATACAAATGCAAGGTTGGAAATCATTGCACCCATAAATCCTGGAATTACAACAAACACCAATTAGCACCCACAAAGGTTGTTCAAATGAGATAGCTACTGACATATCAATCAATCCAACCACTTGGAAGCATTTGGAGAAGTAAAATTTTAATACTTCTCTAGAAATTACCACATGAATCAGCTCACCATTTCAGTGGACCACAATATTTTCTAATTCAAAAGAGGCCATAACAAATAAAAATGAAGTGAATAAATCATAAGGATTGATTTTACACAATCTAAAAGAGAAATGTTCGCCATGAAATTTAGGTAAGAAATGTCTGAAAGGAAAGAAGACCGGAACCAGAGTAATAAAATCATTGTTGAGAGACAATAAAGTGGCTTTGAAATAGGAAGGCCTGGGATAAGAAACAAAAAAATGGGAAGTAGAATGTTCAAGAAAACAAGGCACGAAAAATTTCCAACTCATATATTTAAAAAGAGTAATGCTATGCTACCCAAGCCACAAACCACAAAGTTTGGAATGCTTGATTGGCCAAAAAGGATTGGATGTAACACAAATACATGCATGAATGCATTAAGAGCTGGCCCTCTCTCTATATCTCATCAATACTTTTGATTTCTGACTTGGGGAGCATAGCATTCTCATTTAAAACTTCTAAATTATCCCTATTAAAACTGTAATTTACATGTTGAGGAGCATCAGAGATTTTGAAATTCCAATTGATTTTGGCTCAGAAGAAACTCAATAAGCCAAGCTTGGTGTGGATAGAACTAGAATTGAGCTAAACTTGAATTGCATACAAAAAAAGTAACTATATGCATGAATGCTTATATACATATATTTACATATGTAGTTAGTTTTGAATGGGTATATATGCATCAATGCAATAATGCTTTTATACATATGATTCTATATATGTATGTACTAGAGTATGTATGTTGAACTACAAACTTGTCTTGGAAGATTGTAAATTAATTTTTTACTCAAACCAAAGTTAAAGAATTAGATCTGGCATGAATTGATATTAGATTGGGGGCAATCCATATCAAAAGTTGCTTCGCTTTAAATATAAAAGAATGACTTTGAGTTGACCTTGCTATTGGATTGTTAATAGGCTTACAAAGACTTAAAGATTCCTAATTATTTTCTTCTTCTTTTTTTTTTCAAAAAAAAAAACAAAAACAAAAAGATTATATAGAATTGAAAATAAAAAAAACAACATATCATTATCTCCACCCCTGAAACAAGATACGGATCACTATTCGTTGAATTCTATAATTGTTTAGTCAACAATTAAAAAATGCTTAATTTTTAGGCCTAGAAAGACTTCAATTTTTCTATCAACTTCCTTTTTTCCAAAAAAAAATACAGGTACTCCAACATAAAAATCAACACCATTGATCGTTATCTCCACCATTAAAACAAGATATGGAACAACATTCATTGAACTCTAAAAGTTTAGTCAGCCCTCGAGAATGCTTACCCTTTTTCATTAATGGATAATCCAAATATATTACAATGCAACATTAACTACTTTCGATAAGAGTTACTCAACTTGCATGAAATTTTATATAAATGCCTGACTTTGCATTTATAAGATCGAAGAAGAAGATCAATCAGTTTGATTTTTAAAAAAAATACACAAATTGCAAATTCCCTAAGCATCACTAAATGCAAACCATTACTTGTTTCTCTATGTTTGACTTCTACAAATATCAACATAGAATCTTAAAAATTATGATTATTAGCTATTTCCCAAGAGGTAGAACAACATCAACAAGACTGTTTATTTGTTTCATTTTAAAGCATATACGATCAAAATAAAACTGGCAGAAAAAGTTTAGTTTCCCTACAAATAGAGTTTTCTAAGAATTCCATTGAATTACCAATCATGTTGAAGTTGAGCTCTGTGGCTGCCGCTAAAGCACAGCCACCGATAATTGGCAAGAGCGACCAATAGACTGACACAGGGAATGTCTCCCCAAGCAAAAACCTTGAGACTAACACACTAAAAGCTGGTTCCCCGCTCTTGATTATGTGAGTAAATGACACTGCCACCTTTGACATGCTAACCGTTGCTGCAACATGTCCAATTGTATGAGCCACTGCGACCTGCAAAATTAGAACCACACATATGACCAGCTAAACAACAAAGTAAATTCACAATCTCAGAAAACTTTTAATGCAGACTGTTTTATGACAAAACCAGCCAAAAACCAAGTAAACATCAAAGATTCACAGCACAGTTGGACCCACGAAACAATCAACAAACCGCAAATACCAAAAGAAATTTTATGTTTTTTTCTGAACATGAAACAGATTAATGAAAGCACAACAACAAAAATAAAATAAAGAACGCAAAATCTCCCGGAACGCCAAAGGAAGTAATAATGAAGCAAAAAATTCAAGGAATACTGCATATGGAAGTACGAATAACGAAAAAACAACATCAGAAACTCAGAAATTCAGTAGAAAACGAAAGAAACCCAAACTCCATGTTCTCTCACTGGATGGAGATCTAAAAGCTTGGAGAAATCCAATAAACATATCTCGCCCAAAAGGATCAAGCTTTTCTCACCGGAAAGAGGGACTTCCAGAAATCAAGATCAGTTTTTGGTGACTCTGCGATCCTGATCGTCCAGGAGAGGAGCATGATGAGAGATCCACATGCAAGCGAGAGCGTCGAGGTCAGCCAAGGGAAAGGGAAAGCGTTCAGGACCTTCTTATTGTAAATATTAAACACCACGTTAAGTGCCCACCAGGTGGCGAAGTAGATCCCGATCTTCACCTTCTGGGCGGTGGAGGATTGCGGTTCCTCCGCAGGCACCGACACGTTCTCCGACCTGTCGGCCTCGTAGGCTTCGCACCTGAACTGAAGCTCCTCATCACGTGATCCCACTACCTGCCGCGAGGAAGAAACACACATAGGCTTCAACGACAATCGCGATGAGGAGCACAATAAGGAGGGAAGCGTTGAAGCAGGAAGCGGTGGCAAGGATATCTTCCTCCGCAGAGCGAATAATCCAGTCCGCGCTATATCATTGACGACAAAAGCCGTCGTCGAAGGCTGCTTCACGGCGGAGATCATGTCGGCGGAAAGCTAGTCAGAGTCGAAGTATGTCAAGGAACGATCTTTTAGGGCCTCGAAGCAGGGCCGATCTATATATCCTGGAAAGGCGGTCGCAACGAGAAAGAGTATGGCAAACAGTAGCGACTGCCTTCAAAAACCCTCCAGAAAAGATCAGAGGCAATGAGCCGTAGGAAGTAAAACCCTTTATAATCGGGGAGGGCGGAGATTTTTGTGGAAACCCTAGTATCGGGATCCGCGGATGCTAAGTTGGATTTGGAAGAGGCAGAGGATTTGAAGAGTTTTTTTTTTTCGCAGGAAAACAAAATAAAATCACTGTAATTACAGCATATTCCGGGAATAGCCCTGTATAGTTCGGGTTGATGGACCTGTGATTTGACGGGGACTTCAACGGAGCGTAACTAAACAGCTTCTATTTGATTGAAAGTTGATTTAAGATTTATTTGTCTGCCACGTATTAATTCCAATTATAGGTTGATAATTTTTTATTATTTTATTTATTATAGGTAAATATATAATGCTTAATTTTTTATTTAAATATCTGCTATTTAATTGATACATCACCAAAAAGAGTCTTTAAAAAAAAATCACCAAAAAGCCTCTAGATTGGACATGAATTTTAAGGTATATCCAAGTTAGAAAATTTTAAAATTAAAATTGGAATCATCTGAAATTCAATTTCAACAAATTTATTGTCAAATTGAACATCTCGAAGAGGCGAATCCAAGGACACCGAAATTTGTCCAATCCAAGCCCAAATGGGTCCAAATCAAGAGACCAAAATATATTTGAAATATTCAAACTATAAATTAGATGATCAAATAATATCCAAATATGACATGCTTATAGTTGAATCAAGCGACTCGACGAATCCAACGAGCATAAGATCGCTTAATTCTGACATCATTTGGGCACTTAAATGCTTGACAAATGCTCTATAATTGAGGGGGTTAATATGAGTTGTTTGATTGAGCACTCTAAATTTGCCCATGATCTTTTTCATATTATAAGGCCATGCCCCTCTCAAAAATTTATAAATATAACCCAACTTCTCACATGAGAGGGGGTTTTGACCTTTGCAAGCTTGGACCCTCCAGCTGGAGATTGGAGAGAACTTTGAGGCTTCAAGTGGATTAGAGTTCCACACAAGCACCACTGCAAGTGAACTTCTGTCAACCATTGCCGGATGACCGCTCTTATCGCCGATCATCGCCGAACCACCTACGGTCATCGGACCACCACTCATCCTTCGACCATCATCGAACCACTGCCTGTCCTTCGACCGTCGTCGGACCTCTACCGCCTACAACAAACAAAACTCCGCCCGATCACCGACCATCGTCTGACCACCGCCATGTCGTCAACCACCACTCGACCTCATTCGCCTAACGATTACGGTCCCTCCGACTTACATCACCGCCAACTACGGTTCCTCCGATTACCATTACCCGCTCCCTCCGGCCACAGTTGCCTGTCACATATGGTCACTCTGACCACCATCTACTAGTTCCCTCTAGCCACCGTCGCCGCCAACTACGGTCCCTTCGACCTCCATTGCCCGCCGAGTATGATCCCTCTGACTTTAGTTGCACACCGACTACGGTCCCTCCGACCTCCCGGTTTGCGGACTACGATCCCTTTGACTATCGTCACCCGTCGAGCACCGCCGCCCGTCGAGCACCGCCGCCCGTCGACCACCGTCTCCCGTCTAGCTAAACGAATAAATCATCACTCTCTTGAGAATAACTCTTATATCACTAGATTCTTTCCAAGTCCCACGATGTAATATGCTCTATATGATGTATATTTCTACTTTGAGCCCAGGCCTTCCTCCAAGGAGGAGCCTCATTTGTAATCAACTACATACACTAGTGGATTCTTTTCACCTGGGCCAACCCCGTAGCATTTCTCCTTTTAGGGTTTTACACATAAAAATTATAGTATCTCTTACGACTTTCGCACCCCTCTCTATTATTTATATGTATATTGGATCTTCATACAATGCTTGAACATTAAACTTTATATCACTCTACTCCTGTGAATGTTCTAGGACTCAACATTAATAATTTTTCTTTATGCACATGCAACTTGATATTTTAAATAATATACATAATATCATTGTCTTATTCTTCCTTTTTTTTGTGTGTTATTCTTCCTCACCTGACATCTCAATCATGAACATTAATGAGCTAATGATCTCTTCCTTAGATAGTAATCTTCAAACTTGATTCCTTCTGCTTGGCAATATTAATCATGAAGGCCGATGAAGTTAGGGAAGTTGTAGACATAAACATTGATCTTTATAATGCCTCGTGGGTAGAGGGAGGTGGGACTTCGTACCTCTATGTAATGAAATAGATGGTTGGGAAGGGCAAAGGATTTTGCTGATAGTATTGTTAGAGGTGAGGAGTGTAGGAAACCCATGAAGATATCAAAGTACGTGAGATGGTAGAGCAAAGGGTGGGTTGTCATCGTAGAAGTTAAATGTGTTAGTTTCACTAGTTATCTCTAACAATAGGTAAAAGTTTGAGTGGTATTCTGGCGTGCTTACAATATTTAAGTGAAATATCAGCTGATAATTTTATGACAAACATGCTAACAAATATAATTTTAATGAAATGCAGCTGAACTCACATTTATTTTAATTATGCTTAGTAAAAAATATTCTCATTTTAGAGTATAAATGTAAGTTTGGAGTGTGCTTTTGAGATATGCTTTGAAAAGAATTTATTCATGTGGCATGGCTATAATACTGATGCAATAACTTCAACTGTTGTTAAGGATTTTGGCGAGCTCATTCCCAACCCAACATTTGTTTCTATGGCCATGGAACTCAATGTGATGGATATGGATCTAGAAGAAGCTAAGTTTTTGTAGAAGAGAATGACATCGATGGCATTAAGGCTCCTTGTAGAGGATGTTATATATCCCCTTGTCGAGTTCTCATCAATGGTGGTGGCTTTGGTAAGGATCTGAGAGTTCAAAAGGACATCAAAGGAAATGAATTGTCGAACCACAAGAAAAAGGTGATGAATCTCTCCCTAAGTATGACACATGCATTTGAGGAGGAGAAAGCAAATAATGACATTGAGGTATATGTTAGAGGCGAATTAGAGTAGGAGGTCAAGGAGAAAGAAAAAGAATGAAAAGTTGGAGAAGAGGGCTCCAAAGTAGTAGCTAGGATCCATTGCCCAAGACATAACACTTAGGGGTCTGGGTGGAACCAAAACGAACACCCATGCAAGAACAACTAAGTTGTGAGAAATTATTGAAAAATCATAAAAAAGATATAAAGAAGTTCCGTTTTTTTGAAGGCTAGTTAGAATAAGTGCTTGTTGAGAAGTTGAAGTTAGTGTAAGAGGCCAGACACCATATGCTCCATTGGTGAAAGTGGCTGCGATAGGAAGATCCGGCTTTTGTGGTGAGTTGGACGATATGAATAATAGATTGAAGGTGATTATTGATTGGATGCTACAATAGAGATCGATTCCCACCATAGTGATATATTAACCATCTAGGAAATTTAAACAAAAAATGAAACACAAGTGCTATAATGAGATATCTTAGGTCAAGTTATAGATGACAAATATTGAGAAGTTGGGTTTGTATTATAGAATGAAGGTATTCATGAATTATGGGACTTAATCCACTATTTTCCTTAAGTACTTTCATCCAAAGGCAATATCAAACGCAATGGTGTTGGGCCTCAATTTATAATTTATTGATTTGACCAGGTTATTAGTGAGTCATAGTATCATTATGTGGAACATATGAGGAACTAAATTGCATTTGTTAATAGACCAATTAAAGAACCATGCCACTCCTCCATGAGACCATCAGAGTGAACACCAAGGACTAGGAGACATATACAAGAGATCCCCTAAGAGGGAGGGCTACTCAAATAGGCACTCATAGGAAAATGATTAGCATAAATCAAATTATCATGTAACAAAACTTCTAAATGGAAAAAAAAAGAATGTAAATTTCTATTATAAATATAGGTATATATATATATCTGTGTGTGTGTGTGTGTGCAATTCTTTGGCTCAAGGAAGGGGTGAAGTATGGAGTGCCTTAGGTAAGCAATTTTCTCCCTTTAATGAGGATGGAGATTTTGTGGCACTAACAATGCTCTCAAGCGTATCATAAGATGATTGCGTAAGGATTTCCAATACAACCTGAAGAATTGCTTATATATATATATATATATATAAAGAATTGCTTTTATATATATATATATATATATATATATATTACATAACCTTAGATGTAATATGTTAGTGATTCGCCTTGTAAGCTCCAAGATTTGTACATTAAGAAAGATGTGATTGGATGTTAATGATACTCCTCTTTTCGTGCTAGGGATATTTTTTACAAACCTTTAAAATTTTTTGGGGCGATAAGAGATAATTAATCTTCCACTTATCTCTTTTATTAGATTAGAGCTTTCCTATATCTCTTACGAGATTTCACTACAGGAAAATCACTCATTACCGACAGTTTTTTTCGGTGGTTAGTATAAGCTTTCCTACGGTTTTGTAAAAAACTGGTGGCTTTGCGACTGTTAAAAAACCGCCGGTAAAAATCGTGTAGGAAACGATTTCCAGTCGGCCTTTTTCTGGCTGTTCTACGCACTGGCAGCTTTCCGGTGGTTTATACCGCCGGTTTGTCTGAATCGTCCCGGCAGCCAAACTGCCGGATTATCATCTGTTGACCATTGACGATCGTCGGTAAATCGCCGGTAAATAACTGATGATTTATCGTTGTTATAACTGAAGGCATTACCGACGGCTAAACCGCCGGCTTATCGCCGAAAAATTGTCGGTATATTCCGGTGGCTTCAATGAAATTCCAACGACTATAATTAGCAATCTGATATCGACATTTTCGGCGGCCTAACCACTGGTTAGCCGCCGGAAACCTGTAGCATCTGAAAAAAAAATTGACAGTCTCCCCTCTATATTTACTGAATTTCACTCTAAACTCTAAACCTGCACATAAAATACAATAATTATCACAAATATGGGCAACATGCCACTTTAATCAATTACAATAATTATCACAATCTTGATGGCTATAGAAGATAAGTTTTATGGGAGAGAGCTATGTGATTTAAGTGATAACATTAATCTCATACCCTTGTTCAACTTTAAAATATTTGACCTCGGAGAAGTACTGCAGCCAACCATTATTACCCTATAGTTGGCTGATCATTCATTTACCTATCCAAAATGGGTAATATATGATGTTTTGGTAAATACATATAGAGGAAGATAGAAAGATAACTATCATATTGGGTA